AGCCTTCTTAATATCCTATAGTAAAGGCGGAAATTAAGTAATAATTAAAGGCAAATACTAATTAATATAGAGAATTATATTAGATTTAGTATAAGAATATGGCTAAACGGGTTCGGATTATTTTTAAATAAGTTTAAGAATATAAAATAAGACTATTTAAGGGTAATAAGTTTTATTTTAGGTATATAAAGAAGAAATTAGATTAACTAATAAAAGAGGATCCTAAATATTTTATTATTTCGGACTCTAAGTAGGATTTTTCTATTATTTTTAGTATTTAGGAAATAAGTATAAATAAATAGGAAGTCAAATATAATATAGTAGGCTATATTTATTAAAAATTATATTATTTTAGCGGTTTTAAGGTTTAGGTTATATAATAAAAGCCATGGCCTTTTATATATAACTTATAGAAATTATATAAGAAAGCTAGTTTTTTTATAGACTTAGAAAATAATTCCTTATAAGTATTTAATTAATTAAGCTTTTAAATACTATATATTATTTATATTTTACTATTTATATTTTTAATTTATTATTTTATTATTAAGTTACGTTTTATATTCTAATATATTTTATATGAGTTTTTATCTTATTATAGTTTCCCTTTTATAATATATAAATATATAATAATTAAAGAGGAATCTCTATAAAAAAGCTATAAGAAAATCTATTAGCTATAGCTCGGTATTAGTAATTATATTAATATAATAGAATATAAAAGCCCCTTATTTAATATTATTATAATAAGAAGCTTTTTAGAGCCATATATTAAGAATAAGCTTTATATATTATAATAGATCTAATACCCTAACTTTATTTTAGCCTTTAATACTTTTAAGTTTAAGTAATTATTATATATTATTTTCGAATATATATCTATTTTTCTATAGTATATTACTAGTAATTCTTATATTAATAAACTTTATTTAGCTTTAATACTTAGATAAGTAAGTATTAATAAAGTAATGAATATAGAATAGATACTAATTATAATAGGTATTTGAGGGCCTTACTTATCTTATAATAAAAGAATTAGTATATGGCTTATTAACTTATTTAAATATTCTTATTAATTCAGATAGGAATATTAAAATTAGTTAGTAATAATTTCTGCCTTAAAATATTTCTATTAACTCAAAAATTATAATAAACCAAGAATACTACTTTATTTATTCTCTAGAAAATACTAAACCTTATAATATTAGAGTCTTAAGCTTAATTATAATAGAATTAATATAGGGCTATATTAAGAATAATAGAGCTATTAGTATAAATAATCTATATTACTAGCCTAATAGCTCTAATACTATTAGCTTCCTCTCGGAAATAATATTTACTAGCTTAATAGGCGAGTTAATAAAGGTAAATTAAAGGCTTATATTCTATATTATATTCTAATATTTTCTAGTACTAGCTAATATAACTTCCCTAGTAAAAAGAAAAGCTCAAGGGCCTAGTATCTCTTACTAGCCTCTGGCTATATAGAGACTATAAGTATATACCAAGTTAGGCGGTTTTTATAAAAGTATAAAATATTATAAGTATACTTAGAGCTTTAGTAAGCTATTTATTTATAATAGTTATTAGATTAATATAATTATTTACTATTTCTAACTAGATTTGCTATAATTTATTAAGTAGTAAGAGCTATAAAACTGGATTTTATAGTATTTCTTCTTGGTTTCATAGAACCGTTTCTGGTTTCTTTATTTTTAATTCCGGGTAAATTATTTTACCTTTCTTCTATTTTTAGTTCCAAGGATCTATCTCTAGCTCTCGTCTAATTTGGACTCCTATTATAGCTAGCCTATATATTATATATTTCCCCTTACTTATCTCAATCTCTCTATATTCTTTTATTCTTTTCTTTTATTTACTCTTATATAAATCCTATACTTGCTCTCTAATAGAGATTACTCTTGTATTTAGTATAGCTATAAGCGGTATCTTTCTTTCTCTTATACTTTTTAAGATATATTATAATATAAAGTAATTCCTGGAAATATTTTCGCTTTAGATAAATAAGTATTTATTTATCTATAGCTTCTTAACTATTACTAATACCTGGGTTTATAGAGTTAAGCTAATACTCTTTTATAAGCCGTTTATTTTATAGTAATTATTTTCTGCTTTTAATAAGGTATTATTTATATTAAAGGCTAGGCTATAGACTATAAATATTTCATTAATTAACCTAGTTCCGCTTCTCTCTGGCCCCTTTTTTAATATTCTCGCAGATCTCTTCGGTATTTCTTTAGGTATATTCCAATAATTATATTACTTAGTAAGAGTAATATTATTTGTTTTCCTTATCTTCTATATAATTATAATTATAATAAGTCGGACCATTTTCTTCCTATATATACCGGAAAATTTATAAGAAGTAGTTATGAGTTTTAATTAGTTCTATTATATATTAGCTATATCTAACTTTATATAGGGAGAATTATTACTATATCTTTTTATATTTTCCCTATTTCTTTTCTATATACTTTTATATAAAGTCTTTATCCGTATATATTAAGTATTAGTAATACTTACTACTTATTTAATTTAGTAATACTTGGTATTATAGCCGCTTCTTTCCTATATATATATCTATATCTTTATAGAAATATTTCTTTTAATATTTCTCTTCTAGTATAGATTCTTTATCTAGTAAAATAAAGCTATTAGCTATAGTTTTCCTCGAGCTTCTATTTTAGCTATATAAATAATATAATTAAGATTTACTTAACTCTATTTCGACTATTAAAAGTCAAAGCTAGAGAGTATATTAGGCTATAGATCCTAGTTAGCTTTTGGTCTTTTTAGTAAAGCTATCTATTTGTTATAATATTCTAGTCCAAAAGAAAATAAAGTGCTTTAGATTTATTTATAAAGCCTTACTAAGGCTTTATTCAAAAACTTCTGAAATATAGTAAGTCTAACTGCCTCTCCTACTTAGCTCTATTTAATAGGCCATATAATACTAATATACTAATAGGTAAGTACGAGCCCGTCCTTATAATAGCAAGCGGCTTTAGTATAGCTATCTAGCTATCTTACCTAAAGTAGCTAATATATAAATATAATTTCTATAAGATATATACCTGTTGTATTTATTTAGTTTAGTAGTTAGAAACTTTAGGTAAGTTAGAATTAGATCGGATTATAAATTTATACTAACTATAAATAGATATTAGGATTATAGTAAAGTTTTTACTTAATAATACCCTAGCTAATAATACTTTAAATAAAGGTTATATTAGTTACGTTTTTATTTATATTTTATATAATTTCTAATTTGGATTAGATTCTTAGTATTTTAATTTATATTTAATCGGGAAAGGCAGACCGGGTATCTTTTAGTTAATATACTATAATATATAATAGTACGGCTAATCTAATAATAATTCTTTAAGAAAAGGCAGAAGGGAAATATATTAAAAAATATAAGAGGAAACGGAAGAGTAGAAAGAAATACTAGTAATAAGTAAGTTTTTATTCCTAATAAAAGTTTTTATTTTTTTAATTTTTTAATTAATTTACTAATTAATTTTAGTCTTAGGAACTAACTAGCTATATAATTAATTATAAGATAAAGTATATAGGTACTTAGATAATAAGGTATGCCTATAAGAGTTAGAATACTAGCTAGTATAGCTAGAAAAGTAAGTTTAAGGAATTAGAATACGAGTTAGTATAATTATAAGATCTCTTTATAGAAGAATATATATAGGGTAAGTTAGATTAGTTTAGTATCTTAGATTAAATTAGTATAGCGTTTTTGTTTTATCTTTTCCTATAAGAATATCCTCTAATACTCATTAGCTAATACCGGTATTATAGTAGCTACTTGGGCTTGAATCCGTTTATAGAGTTGCCTATACTAGTCTAATAGGAGAGAATAAGTCCGAATTTGGTATTATACTGCCTCTATTAATTTAGAAACAGACGTATATACAAGATACAAGTAAGCTATACCTATAAGGTTATTATCTATTAGTATTTATAGGCCTTACTTATTTTTTTTGCTTTACTTACCTATTTCTAAACTTCTTCTGGATAGGATAGGAAGTATCGGACTCCCAGAAGCATTTAATCTGATTTCTATAACTCCTATTGAGAATATTACTAAAGATAAGTATCTTGAGATATTATAGCATATGAGACTCTACAGGTATAAAGATAATACTCTCAAGATTATAGATATCCTCAAAGAATTCTCTCAAGACTCCCAGTATCCCAAGTACTATACTATTGCAAGATAATTATCTTAAGAGCCGTACTTTTATAAGACCCGTAAAATCTAAAGAGAAAAGTCTTAAGAGAAATTTCTTAAGAGATTACAGGTCTTGAGATAAGATTCTTGAGATAAGATTCTTGAGATAAGATTCTTGAGATATTATAGCTCTTGAGAGAGTATAGCTCCTACGAGAAATATCTTAAGAGCCGTACTCTCTTAAGCGATTTTTCATATGACTCATGATCTCTTAAGAAATTTCTCTCAAGACTTTTTTCTCAAGACAAGACAAAGCAGTTATGTACGTGATTCCCGTCGACCCTTGCCCGCAAGTCAAGTCATATCCAATAGTTGCTTGGGTTACCGGGACCCCTTCTCTTTTTGCGACGTGTGACAAAAAGCCATTCCAGTCCTCTTGATCACGTGACCGAGTAACTCAAACGCACAGGCTCGTCCATCAAGCGTCATCAGCAAGGCCAAACTGTTGGCTCTGACTCTCGCTTATCGAACGGGTTGCGGAGGCTCGATCGGGCCCCCTGTCGATTCCTGTCGATCGCCAAGGCTATCCCTTCGTCCGCTGAGACATTGCCAGGCGCTAGCATTGAACCTGGCTCAGGGCGAAAATGAATAGATAACTAATAAGTTTATAAGCAAAAGTACGCCTGCACAGTCTGAGCCAGGCCCCCTTGCTAGCGCCTGGCAATGTCTCAGCGGACGAAGGGATAATTGGAAAAAGGCAGGGAGTCACTTGGACCCTATTTCTATTGGACGATTAGGGGGCCCGATGCGGCTCCTCGTCGATCCCGGATATAATTAGAATCCGGCAAGGCACCATTTTCTGCCCCTTGTCTCTGCCCCTTGTCTCTGCCCCCTGTCTTTGCACCCCGTCTCTTAGGTGAGATCCTGTGTGTAACTAATGAGATATGTTTATGTCTAGTAGACGGTCACTTTACTTCCGTAGATATGAGTGGCAATTTAAGCGAACCCACTAGCACAGTGAAGTTGCCGGTTTCTTAATCTTGAAGAATTATATACAAATAGAAAGCAGTGAAGATTTTAACTTTTCTAATACCAAAAACGCCTCATTCACAATCTGGTGGGAATCTATAGTACTCACTCTAAAATCTTCTGCTATAGTAGCCCATTTTTGAATATCCCTCTTTAGGTGCTTGTTTTCTAATTCTGCTATATATCGCACCGCTGTAAGCTGGTTCGCGGCCTCTTTAGCATCTCGCTTAAATATTAACTCTGCCGTAGTAGTATCCTTTAACTTGTTGACCTCACCCATTAACCTTGAATTTTCTGCTTCTAATTCCGTAATTCTGTCGGTAAAGTTTGCTACTGGTCCAGTAAAAGGAATATTCTGGCACTAGCATTAGCTTTATACTTCGGGTAATAATGAGCTTACGTACTTCTTTTACCATAGCTTTAAACAAAATACTAACTTCTTGATATAATTCCATATAAGCTCTAATTAAATGCTTGCTTAGGTTCTTTTCGAAAAGATATATTCTTGCTAGTAGAGATTACCAAGAATAAAGATCCTTTATGTATATAATAAAACGAACTTCTAATAGGTCGATTAATATTCCAAGCTTGCTCTCTGTTATATCTTATTATAGTACTAGTCGCTTAGTTCTCGTGTTTTTGAATTTTACCTAGTGTATTAAAGAATTAATTACGTTAATTAAATTAATCGATTAATTAATTAATTAATGTAATTAGATTATGATTAACGTAATTCAATTTTTTTTTGATTAGATTAGATTAATCTTGATTAATCTGATTAATACTTGGTTAATCACGTGATACCGAAGTTTCTTGACTTTTTTTACTTTTCTCTTTACTTTTACTTATTAATTATTAAATAATCTTATAACTAACTAATAATATTATAATAAAAAAATCTAAATTAAGCTAAGAACTAACTAATTACTCCTTTTCTATAATAATAAACTAATTATCTGTAAGGGGCGTACGTGATGGCGCATGGACGGGTATTAGATATCGTGGATCTAGTTTCCTATTTTGAGTAAAGCTTGCATGGGATCGCATTTCCTAATTAAGTAAAGGTCTTCGCACGCTTGGCTAAGTACTAGGGAATATATAAAGAGACGCTTCTAGCTTTGGAAAGGGGTATTAATTAGTCTTTTGTTAGAATTAACTCTTGGAAATCAGTTATACTTGCAAGCGTTACTATATGCCTTATAGCTTAGTAAGCTGCGGCCCAGGCCGCCGCTAGGTGGCCGTAGCCCTAATGCGGTAAAGCGCGCTCCCGATGCGGCTAGCGCTATCACGTGTCTAGTCACGTGCTCCATTAATTAAATTAATTAATTAATAATCGATTAATCTAATTAGATTATAATTAGAATATGATTAATAGTAAATTTCCTTAATTAGATTAGATTAATGCCTATTAATCTAATCTAATCTAATTATTTAATATACTAATTTTACCCTGTACCCTACTATTTCCATTCACACTTCTTTCTTTTATATCTTTATTAATTGCGGTCCTATTTACGTATATATTAGCTCATTTTAATCGTTGTAATATTCTCTTTCTAATAATATTAAAATTTCTAAAATACACTGGAAATTAGGCTCAGTACTTAGTATGCCAGCCCTTAGCCGCAATAACTGCCTCAATGCAATCATTTATACTTGCACCTAACTTATTAAACAAATCTTGGTCTAGAGTATCCCAAGCGGCTTAAAGACAAGGCTCCAATCTTTACTATATATATTCTGACTCTGACTTATCCGTAGTAATATTAGGGAATATCTTATAGTACCTAGTCTTTAGGTACTACCAGATATACTCGATTAGATTAAGATCTGGGAAATAAGCAGGCCAGTCCTCAAGTAGTATAAACCCCCTTACTTTAAACTATTTCTTTACCTTACTAGCTATATAAATAGAGACATTATCCTATATAAATTCATATTATAAGAGGGAAACTATAATAAGACAAAAACCTATATAAAGTATACCAGAGTATAAAACGTGACTTAATAATAAAATAATAAATCAAAAGTATAAATAGTAAAATATAAATAGTATATAATATATAAAAGCTTAATTAATTAAATACTTATAAAGGATTATTCTCTAAGTCTATAGAAAAACCAGCTTTCTTATATGATTTCTACAAGTTATATATAAAAGGCTATAGCCTTTACTATATAACCTAAACCTTAAAACCGCCAAAATAATATAATTTTTAATAAGTATGGCCTACTATATTATATCCGACCCCCTATTTATTTATACTTATTCTCTAAATACTAAAAATAATAGAAAAATCCTATTTAGAGTCCGAAATAATAAAATATTTAGGATCCTTCTCTATTAGTTAATCTAATTTCTCTTCTATATACCTAAAATAAGACTTATTACTTTTAAATAGTTTTATTTCATATTCCTAAACTTGTTTAAAGATAATCCGAATCCGCTTAGCTATATTCTTATACTAAATCTAATATAGTTCTCTATATTAATTAGTATCTGCCTTTAATTATTACTTAATTTCTGCCTTTACTATAGGATATTAAAAAGGCTTATTATAGTAAATTATATTATAAATTATACTAATATACTCTAAATAAATAGCTTCTTTAAATTTCGTATTATTTATAATATTCTTGAATTAATCTTTAATAAGAGGGAAAAGCTCTAGATAAGAGGCTTTAATAACCTTATAGGAGACTTTATTTTCGTATATTTTATTCTTAATATTAACTAGATTTATAAGAACTATAATAAAAGGCCTATTAAATAGCAAATTATTATTAAGCTATTCTTTAACTTATATATTATCCGAGAATTAATACTTTCTTATAATTCCAGACTTATAGATTACCTAGCTAAAAGTATTTATTTATCTAGTTAAATAGATTATATTCGGAGTCTTTTTTCCTATTACCTTTAGTAAATACTCGCCTATTTCCTTAGCTATTTCCGGCTTAAATTTATTAGAAATAGAGAAATAATTAATATTTTTAAAGAACTTCTTATTAAAGATAATAGCCTTCTTATTATTTATAAGGAAAATATAGCTAATATTCTAATATTCTTTACTAAGGTAAAATTTATTACTTAAAGCTTTAGTAATAGGCAGATCTTTAATATTACCTTTATACTAATTATAATTAATATTTCCAGAAGTAAAGTATTAGGCTAGCTAAGAATAAATAACTAGATAAATAGGATACTTGCTTAATACCTTATAAAATCCGAGCCATATTAATAGATCTACTATTAAAAGTTAAGAGACTAAGATAAAATAGCTATTACTAAGATCTTTATATATTAATATATTATTTTTTTAGAGATAGAACTATAGTATTTCTATTTCTTCTATTAAGAGCTTTTAAATACTAAGCTTCTTAATCTACTTTAGATAATTCTTTTTATAAATATAGCTATTAGTACCCAGATTAGTAATACTAGACTTAGAAATAGAGACTATAGTATTAAATTAGAGCTATAGATTAGGGCAAAATTAATCGGAAATATAATATTTATATTTATACTTCTTAATTTTCTAGTTCTTAAAAAAGAAATCTCATATTTCCTTATTTACCTAAGTAATAGAAATATACTTCTTGCCTTTAGTAACTTTATAGATCTTAGTAACTAGCTTTAGAATATCCTTAATTTCTTATATATTAATAGAGAAAATATTAGTAAATTACTAAATATATATTATATAAAGAGCTTTAAGAAATCTATTATTAATCCTATAGTATTCTCGCTTATAAATAGGTCCTATAATATTATTATATATTTCCTTAAAAATATATTTATCTTACTAAGCAAGTATTAACTTCTATTTAGCTAATATCTTATAAATATACTAGATGCCTTTATTAAGTTCTCCGGACTTAATACTCTTAGTCTTCTATTTCTTGGTTCTAGATATAGTTATAAGAGTCTTTTTAGATAGTATCTTTTTCTTTAAAATAGAGAATTCCTTCTTACTTTCTTCTAGTTTACTAATCTTATATTTAGTCTAATACTCAGATCTCTACTATTTATTAGGAGTTTTAGGCTTAGCTTATTCTCTATTCTTACTAGGTTCTTCTTATCTAGTTATACTAGTTCTACTAGCTTTACTAATAGTCTTCTTACTAGGCTCTATTAAATTAGTTCTATTTTTCTTAGCTAGATCCGGTTAAATTAAAACTAAAATCATAATAGGGGCCTATTTTTTAGGCTTATCTTAGAAAGTAGGAAAAGGCTTATTACTATAAACTCCCTTAATTAGAATTCCGGAAGTATTAAAGATATATTATCTAGCTTTAAGATTATTAGCTAATAATAGCTTAAACTCTAATTCTCTATATTTCGAAATAGTTTTAGTATACTTAAATACCTTAGTAATATCTAATTTAGTAAATATACTAGTATTCTAATACTTCTTATCCTTAATATACTCTAAAGTAGCTTTATTAATTAACTAAATAGCTTTATATACTAAAGCTTTTATTTTAAAAAAAGAATATAACTTCTTATAAATATTCTTACTAAAATTATTATAGATATTATTAATATATTAGCCAAAAGCTTTACTATATAGTATAATTCTATTCTGACCCTTAGTATTAAGACTATTTACTATAGTCTTAATCTTATTGAGCTTCTCTTATTTGCCTTTAGAAATACCTTTAATAATATTCTCGAATTCCCTATTATTAGCTTAATAGTTCTTTAGCTTCTCCTTAGTTAATTCCAGTCTAGTTCCGTTTCTAATAAAGGTTTTCTATTTCAAGAGCTTATTATATATATTACTTAGCTTATCTAGGATATTTATATTAAATTTAGTAATTATAGCTATTTTTTCTAGTATTAGTAGGCCTTTTATAACTGCCCAAGCTTCTTTAATATTCTAAACTTTAATATTATTAATTTATAAGCTTTTAATAATACTACAGCTTATAAGGACTAGTTATTATACTTTACTAATTTAAGGAATTTATTCTTTAGCTATTCTATTATTCTTAATAAGTTATAAAGATATTATTAGTATAATAATTATAGGTTATAGAATTAAAGGTTCTCGAGATTATAAGAATTTCTTTTAAGTATATTCTAAAATAAAGAATAAATTAGAATAGTTTTAGATTATATAAATATATTATATATATTCGAGTTTTTCTTTCTTTCTAGTAAGAAAATAAAACTAAAATAGTAATATATATAATAGGGAAAATAGGTATAATAATTAGATATATTTAAGGTAATATAATTATAAATTAGAAATAATTATAGAAAGTAAAATATGGAATTAGGCTTCTATTATAGAAAAGAATACAAATATATATATTTAAAGAAATATAATTAAGGAAATAATTAAGGCAGGTTAAACTAAATAATAATAATAGGGAAATAAGAAAATAATATAATAGAAATATAGATATA